CATACTACACCTGTCGTTTTCGTATAATAAATATCAAGAAATCGAAGTAAAACTCCAGAAATCCTTTGGATTCAAGCTTTCTGGGGCCCTAATTGACTGCAGCGGGACACCCTGCGCCATCTGTGATTTCCAGGTCAATTAAATTGTCACTCCGAGACCCCGTATTCCCATCGTTTTAGCATAGAAGCGCATACAACACTTTTTTTGCCCCTATCGTGTTCAAATGCGAGTTTATCGATTACTAGAGTGTTCTAAATTGTCGTAAAATTCTCTTGACCCTTTCGATTCTCATATCAGAGCCTTCGATAATTGTATATTGATCGAAATATGAGAGCTCGATGCCATTTTGATTCTGGTCTGGGCTGAGTTAAAACATTTTTTACAAAAATCAAAATTTTGAATGTGTCAGGACAATTCTTAGATGATCAGGAGTGATGAGTCAAAGTTTCGAACAGTTTGGTCTAATACCCTTAAAAAAAAGTGTTGTATTCGAATCGACTGATTTGAAGGGTGTTTCACTTCAACATTCTTTCAAAACCCGGAAATAATGATCCCATTTGAATGGTTCTAGATGACGAATCGAGAATCGAGATATTTTTGAGCGTCCGGGGAGAAGAGAAATTCTGCCTAAGAGTTTAGCCAGTTACAAGGTGCGAGTTAAAGATTCAGCCTCGAGCCATGACTTATGGAGTGGCATCCGGCTTGGGAATTACGAGCACATCCAGCCGTTACTTGCCGCTGGTCAGACACCACCTAATGGAAACGAGATTCGCCCGGCGGTACGCGGGATGTGTCCACGATATCTCATACCGGCCTTCCCTTATCTATTAATGAATTCACCCGAATTACCAGCGGAGAGGAAACTGGACATTGTGGCCTGCCTCAAGTCTACCCTCGCTTGATCCAGTTATCCTTTTAATCATTCACCAAATATCACTATTTCACGGCTCGCCTACCGTATTTCCTCACGGTGGATGCTTCCGTATCAATCCGTTTAAATTCTGTTCAAGAATTTTATCGAGCGCCGTTCATAAAGGGTACACGAGCCTTAATTAGGAGCTCGTTCCTTCTACAATTAAAATATTATGCCTGATTTAACAGTTTATTAGTAAATATTTAATAAACACTTGTGAAGTATTTTTCCGCTAAATTGTTCATGCACACACATTAATAGTTAATGAACTGTAGCAAAAATACCTCCTGCTTGTGCAATAATGATCGATTTGTTTGATCTTTCAATTGTTGATACCTCCTCGTTTATTTACAAGGCTTATTACTAACAAATCGTTAAATTTGTAAGATGACGCTGTGACGTTATTTGAGCAGTTTATTTTGAAAGTGGCGTAAGTCCATTTATGTTCGAATCAAGATATTGAAGGGTTTGCGTTGGATTAAATATAAAAATATGGGTAACAGATAACATAATAGAATAATGTTTTTGAGTTTCTGAGGGTGTCAAATTTATCATCCCAATTAGCATAATTAACATTATTTAAGAAATGATATGTTTTTGATGGGTATAAATGGACTTACGCCACTTTCAAAATCAATGAAATGACGTTTTCAATTCTTAAGAAAGCACAAGTCCATAGGAAAAGTAAATTTTCCTTGAAATTAAAATAAATGTATACACTGTTATGTTATAAAATCAAAAAAATATTCAACTTTGATTCTTTGTTAAATAACTTTTACATTTAAATTAATATTGTTTTATTAATCATTATTCAGTCTTCTCCAGTTGGATTTAAAATTACGTTTTCGAAACTAACATGTTATGTAGCATAAAAGTAAGATGGAAGTTAGACGTTAGTTATTATTTCCCACTCGGTAAGGTAACATGTTATGTAACATNGGATCCGCAAGACCCCTAGTAGCACAAAGTATTTCTCTTATATTTTTTATACATTAAACGAATATCATACATTTTGTAAATATTTACCAGACATTGTTTTATAAATTATTATTCAGTCTTCTCCAGTTGGATTTAAAATAACTATTGTGTACAGGTGGTATAAAATGTAATAAATCCATTAAGTCCTTGTATTTTAGGTTTGTAAGTGGTCTCGGTTTTTTGTATAGTGGTGTCAACTTGATATTATTAAAGTAGCTCGGTCTTCCCCGTTGCGATGATAAATCCAATGTTTTGAATGGTGCATCCTTGTTCGTTGTCGTTTTGTAGAATAACTCACAAGGATAGCTTCTCAAAAATCATGGACCAATCATGGAGAAAGTCTTCAAGACCCCCCTGACGCCCCAACAGGACATCTACAGGCTTCAAGTACTCTACCTTCCCAGGACCTACTACAATCTGGCCCTTAGGGGAGCCACCGTGGGGAACCTACGCAAGGCGGATTGAATCATTCGAGCGGCGACCCGGAGATGATTGGCCCTGCCAAATGACACCCTGGTGCGATACTTCTACGCCGTTACGAAGGATAGAGGACTGGGCATCTCCTCCCTCAGGTAGACTACTTCCGCCATGGGTCTATCACAGCTCCAAGGATACCTCCCTCAACGAAGGTCTGGGATTGCTCTAGACAACAACTACCTGACAGCGAAGGTCTGGGATTGCTCTAGACAACTACCTGACAGCGAAGGTCTGGGATTGCTCTAGACAACTACCTGACAGCGAAGGTCTGGAGACGCACAAGAGTCACCGATCAGAGATAGCTCCGGATCACCAAAACCGATTTGAACACAATGTGGGCGGTAAGACTTCACATCATCGGTCGACGGAGCTTCGCTGAAAGACTCGAGTCTGGTGCACCAACGACACCAGTGGGTCACAGACGATACGCGCCTCCTCTCTGGGAAGGATTACATCAATGTCATCAAGACAAGGATCGCAGCCCTTCCCACCCTCTCCGGGCAACGAGAGGAAAGAGACAGGAACAGATGTGTCGCGGCGGCTGTCTCCACCCGGAGACCCTCAACCACGTTATTCAACATTGTTACCAGACACACGCTGCCAGAATGAAGAGACAATACCAAGGTGGGATATATCTCCAGGAACCTCCGCTGCCAGAAGTATACCGTCCAAGAGAAACTTCATTTCTGGACCCCCTCTGGCTCCAGAAAGCCGGATCTCGTGGTGGTCCAGGGGTGGCAGGCGGTAGTCGTCGACGTGCAGGTGCTCAGTGACCAGGCCCCTTTGATGCTGCCAACAGGACCAAGGGACGGTACTACGCTGATACCCCGAGCTTCAATGGCGAAGTTCACCACCTCACTGGAACCGCCGCGATAGACCACCCTGAATTGGCGGAGGATTTAGAGTTAGAAGCCGGCCCAATATCTGCACCGGCTGGGAATCGTTAGCATCAGAAATTTGGCGGTTACCCACACCAGGGTGCTCGTAGGGACGTACACTGCCTTGAAGGTGTTCTTCAACACCACCACCGTCACAAGACCCTATGCACCGGAACGAACAGAGATAGGCTGGGCAGAAGAAGTGGTATGTCTCCCCCTACTGAGTAGTACCTAACCCATTCGCTAGGTATAACATGTCCGAAACATGATGTAACGCGGCACACCGTTGATTAAGCTAAACAAATTGTAACAAATAAAGGAGTCCGAGAACAAATTTTTATTGGCCGAATATACGATCATGTTGTTAGAATTGTTAGGGATCTTTTAGAAGGCGGACAGTCCCCAATTAATGGGGCCTCGCCATTGTTTTGGAAACCGGTAGCAACGAGGATGTAACCCCACGGCATATAATAACTAGCATTATTTAGGTCGGGAATCCGAAACTGCAGGTATTCGTTGCCTCGATGATATAGTGCCGCCCTTCTTAAGACTGTAACAAATTGCAGTTCGCTGACGCTTGCCTTAAAACGGAAAGACATTCATGTCTGAATATCAAGGTGGATCATGGAGCTCCAGAACTCTGACACACTGATTATGCAACCGAACGCCGTGAGGGTGGAAGAATAACTCACGTAGATGGGCTTAGCGGCAGTAAATAGATAGGTATTGTAAATAAACTTAATTGTGGCGTAAAATAAAGATAACCGGATTGTCGACACCAGGAAACGTATCGAAATAGTGCAGGACAAGCTGCATGGATTAAAATATGGTGTAATTTATCGCAGAGCGGGTAAGGGTGATACACTTTTATTCTTTGTTCCAAATTTAAGGGAAAAAAAATATTTGATTTTAATATGAATTAGAACACCTAAAACTTGTAAAGGCGTATGAAACGGTGCGTAAAAGCTATTGGTTTCCGGATATAAAGAATAGGATTGCCGAGCACATGAAAAATTGTTAAAAATATGTCGCGTTTATGCCGATTTCATAAGATTGACGGCAAGGTACAAATAGTTCCCAAGGGTGATAAGCCTTTTAGGTTTATACACGTAAATCACATTGATATTTGCTGGATAATATTGTGTTTTCACCGTCCTTATACAGAATACGTTTATACCAAGTTTCGTCGAAATCCCCCCATTGCATCTATGAAAATTATTATACAAATTGAATTTTTGCCAAACTTTGGGGGGTTGTTTCACCCCTTAAATGCGGACCATTGCTGATATAAAAAAACACGTATCTCTTAGATTTTTGTGTTGTTCAACATGTATGAAAATCAATAAGATCGGGGGCGGACACTTGGGAATGTTTCCTTGTAAGTGACCTCGAGAGTTCACACCTTCAGTTAGTAATATCGTTGACTCCAATAATTACTTTGAATCGGTAACTGAATAAGGAAATGTAATGTAATGGAAAGTTAGGTGTTCTGAAAATAATTCAGGAGAGTAGACGTTCCGATTCGATAAAAATAACTGAAACATATGGGGATATGTTATAGTGAAAGATTGTTAATTTTTCGTTTATAACTCGTATTTAACAAACGTTATTACAGAGAAATATTCGTTTTACGGCGAACAGTATCCACGATATCACCAATCGAAACGGATTAAGATCCGAGCAGCACAATCAGGGTGAATCAATTTGAATCTGATAGGAAGGCGACGTGGAGACATCGGGTACCATTACTCCTTGCAGTGCCTCCGTGCAGGTGACCAGATAACGTTTTCTCCGCAGGTAGGATGACAATAAACAATAGTCATTACCAAGTCACCTGACCTATTATCAAATTAAACATTAGAAACACATTACGCTCTCTTCGTTTAATTGAACATTGCCCGTAATGCACACTTTTAGGTTACTAAAGGTTAACTTACGCTATCATGAAGTATTTTAAATATGTTGCAAAAGAATTGTATAATAGAGTTATAGAAAAGCGTTTAATACGTACGACCGAGCATTTTATTCTGTAGACTAATTTTAATATATTTAAGGGGCTACATACACTTTGGTGCGGTGAAAAGGACGATTTTTTAAGTTTTTTTTTGTAGGTTATACCTTTTAGCTATATTCCCTGAAAATTTTATTCCGAAATTCGTAAAATTAACGAAGTTAACACTAGGTTTACGGGCGTTTTTTATATACCTGTTTCTACGAGCACCCGTCAAATTGACGGGTAAACGAAAACACGCATTTTCTTTAAAAAATCGATTTATTCAAATTAAGTCTGAATTAAACAACACTAGGCTACGTTTAAATGAATGATTAATAAGTAAAAAGTCCTTTTTTAAAAATTATCACGGAAATGATTGGAATGCTCGTCCTCTCATCCTTGGAGTCAGAACTAGAAAGAATGCGCATCCTTTTCTTGCTACGACACCCTTTCAAGAAGTTTTCCTCTTCACTATCCGAAGATCCTTCTATCTCTCCACTTTCAATGCAAACTTTCACTCTCATCTTCGCCTTACACTCTCTGCAACGAAGCAAATATATATGGATTGCTCATGAAATTAGCTAATCCGTCAATTTGACGGGTTTCGTAGAGATAGGTATACTACATACAGATTTTAATAATTAGAAGGCTTAGGAAAAAATAATTGCGTGTACAAATTCTTTGGATGAAATGTTTAATTTACGACACAAAAATGGTTAAAATTAATGCTATGGTTTTTCCGGTATTTCTTTTTGAAGTTTGAATTCCGTCAAATTGATGGGTCCCGTAAACCTAGTGTTAAAGATTATGACAGGCAGGTATGCACGTAGACATAGCGCGCGAGCTAAGTGTAATCAAGTATACATTGATCTGCAAATTCTTCCAAACAGGCCGGGGCAAAAAAGGTGAAACTTGATAAATTGAAAGCCAATATATCCGCAAGGTAGTTACGTATGTACTTAAGTAATTGACAATTGAATGTCTGAAACGAAAAAATGACATTGGTAATACCTAAGTCGGAAACTTTAAACGCGTTTTTCTCAGAACTACATTTTTTAAAACAGTGTCCAATAAATCTCGAGAACTAATGGACCGATTCAATTGAAATTTTTCATAAATTTTCTTTATACAATTATCCACTTACTGGCATAGGGTTTTTTAAACAGTAATTATTTGTTATTGATAAAAACACATCGATTTTTATTTGAAAATCATACCTACATCTTCAAATGGCCGCAATTCTCGGAAAAATTAAATTTAAAAAAATCGATTATGACAAGTTCTCTTTCTTATGTACTTTAAGACGATATTTTCAGTTTTTATTCAACATAAGAACTGTCAGAATTATGATGGGAATCGCAGAAGCCCTTATCACCAAACCTAGATCCTACGGGATCACATGTACACGTTTTCTTTTATGATATTTATTTCGGAACATTTAACTGGACACACATAAAAGTATGAACTTTAAGAGGGATTTATTAATTTTGAGATGAAACAAACTTTTCTATGAGAAAAAAATCCCAAATTTCACTTTTTTTTCCTACTTCTAGGTGTATGTAGCCCCTTAACTGATGAAACGTTTTCGCATGCTTTGCATTTCAAAGAAATTAACCTAAAAGGAAGCAACATGAAAATTATAATAATAACTAGATTAGTAAATGAACGTTTAAAAAATTCGGTAAATCGCTAACAACAAATACAGTTTATGTTTCAATTATCTTGCTTACTCGCGTTCCTTTCAGACTTGCAACCATTGTACTTTTTCGATCTTGCAAAATTATATTAGGTTAAGGAATAAATTCCCGCCGTTTTAATTATGTTACGTTACGTTAAAAACGGCGGGAATTTATTCCTCAACCTAATAGTATTCCATCTCCTAGAATTAGATATCTCTCGTTCATTTCTTATAAATCGCATAATATTACTAAAACGCGATATTTATAATTATTACGATAAAATTATATTATTAGTAACTGTCAAGTCTATTTCTTTCTTCCAGTTATCAATTTAGAATGAAAGGCATAAGATGTCTTACAATAGCATTGATGTTGGCTTCATGGATTTCAATGACTTATCAACGTGTCATGAAAGATGCTTTAACTCCTGGTCGAAAACTCGTGGAATCATTACCGAAACATGGTACATATTGTGATATTAAATTCTCTAAGAATGTCAAATAATCCCACAAGCTACGTCGAACAACTATTAAACTGAATACAATAGTGTACGTAAATGTCGAAGGGGTTAATATACGCGATGAACTGTAAAATAATGTCTTATGAATACGTATATCCAGTGAACACTGTTATATAACTGTTGGGTAAATGTTACATTTTTGAAACTAACATGTTATGTAGCATAAAAGTAACATGGAAGTTAGATGTTAGTTATTATTTCCCACTCGGTAAGGTAACATGTTATGTAACACGTTATATTAATGTTATATTAATGTTAGAATTTCAGTTACCTTAAAATAATATTAATTTTTCATACATTTAATAAAAAAGATGACGCAATTTTATCCAAAATTATATAATTTTTTATTTTTAATTATTTTTTGGTACTTACAATAGTTAGATATTAAATGAAAAATCAGACTTTCAATGAAACTATGTAATGAATTAACTATCTGATTTACTCTTAAAGACAATTAGGATTTCATTCGACTAGCAAACAATGACTTTTTGGATAATATATATGCGCGTATGAATTAAAGTCACATTTTTTCATACGAATAGTAAATAAAATATGACATATATTAATTTTATGACGTATGACGATAAATTATGACAATGACGACGACGATGATGTAATAAAATAAATGACTGCACCAATGTAGTTCCGTTTTGTTATAAGTATGTGCTGCATATACACAGTAATATCAGGACAGTAACATAATGTAAGATGAGAGTAACAAAGTTATGCTACATTTATATAGATATGATAATAAGAAATGTTATGAAATCTGTTAGCTCCATGTTACATAACTGTTAAGTTACTGCATTGTAACAAATGCCATGTAACTAGTTAGCTGTATGATACGTAACTGTTAGGTTACTACATTGTATCAAACGTTATGTTATTTGTTAGTTTTAAGTTACGTAACTGTTAGGTTTGGTGTTCAGTGGGATGTGGGTGAACATGTGGCAGAATTTCATTTTTTACTTCTACGTGTTTGTTAATGAAGTTTCAAAATTAATATCATATTTAGGACTCGGCGACTCTACGAACCCCTTCGAAAATATATTCTGAATATTTCGGCTGCTTAACAATAAAATTACTTTTAGAGCAAATATTAATAACCAAAGAATGAACCATTTAACGCAACGGTTAGTATTATGTGAAATAATATAAAATGGATGTTAGCACTAATATAAGATGTCAACATACCTTTATGAACTCTTCCTTTTGATACATTATTCATAATTCTGCAAATTTGAACAGGTGTTTTTCCGCAAGATGTAGTGAACTTTGCTTGTGATTTATTTATTTAATTACAAATTTATTAAATGACGTTCTTAACTTCTTAATAGACTATATTTACAATCGATTCATCTTATTTACAAAAATGCATATAAAACCTCCGCTATTTGAAGAAAGAATTGCGAAATAAAAATAAAAGTCGATTCGGACCACCCGACCCCACTGAAGTATAATCATCCTGAAAATCGGGAATTTCTCGTGCGTTATTTGCCTGGAGCCGAATCGGGAAGTTGGGAGTGAACCTAGGGACTAATTTTTTTGCAGGAACTTCCGAGGGTGCTAAGTCAGAATCCATAGTTGGATTTCGGAAATTCCAATTAACCCTTTTAGTGCCGGGCGAAGAAGAGGTGCTTATGCGTAGATAACCGGCCGAATTTTACGATTTTACTAGGATTTAGAAAAAGGCTCATAAAAACCAAACGAAAAGCAATATTTACATAATTCAAAAAGCAGGGTATTAAGGACAAAATAGAGAATAAAACGGTGACGCTAATTTTTCTATATTCATTGAAAATTACATAAATAACAAAGGTATAAGTGATAAAAAAAAAGAAAAATTGAGTTCTCTGTTTCAAAACGTAATTGCACATAGGAAATGCTGCAATTTTGCTTGAAAGTGAGGTATTCGGAATCGAAAGCATACATACAACGAAACATCCAAAACACGTACAAATCGGCTCGCAACTTGCGGCAAGAATTTCGGGACCAATTCAAAATTGACTTGTGCAACTTCAACTTCTGCGAGCAGGCGTGTACACCAGATTGCGGGAGCGGGCAAATTCTTGCTTAAGGGGTTACACCACTTTGACCCACCCAAAAATTACGATTTTTCAAATTTTTTTTCTTAAGAATTAAAACGTTTTTATCCAAATTGAAGTACAGTAAAGTATTATACTACTATTAAACAATAAAATATTTTTTTGTATTTTTTTTATTTACAAAAATGGCGGCTTGAAAGGCGATTTACCGGAGCGCTGCGAAAATCGATGATCGTGCGGTAGGCACGATAACTCAGTCCAGGTTTAAGTTAGAACAATAAACGAAAAAGAATTAGGTTCTGTAGCCCGAAAGCTAGCGAAATACGTAGCCGTTTTCAAAAAAATGCATTTTTCACAAAATGGCATCGATTTGAATGGAAAGATACGTATTTTGTCCTAAATTTCGTTAATTAATGTTGCATAAAAAATGCGAATATCAATACATTGAAAAAACCATACGTATTTCGCTAGATAAACATATCGCGAATAAAATAAAAAAAGAATCAAGACGATTGATTGAAAATTGGCGGAGCTAGAATGCCCACCGATTTTTAAAATGCAGGTTTAAGAAAAATGCGTTTACACCTATACACCTGCCCACCGCACGATCACCGATTTTCGCAGTGAGCGAGTTTAATAGTAGTATAATACCTTACTGTCCTTTAATTTGGATAAAAACGTTTTAACTCTTAAAAAAAAATTCTTGAAGAAACCGTAATTTTTGGGTGCGTCAAAGTGGGGTAACCCCTTAAGTTCTCTTGCACAACCGTGTACACTATGGCAAGAACTCTGAGAGACAGCTCTCGCACGTTTTACTTGTACGTGGACGCGAGCTGTTGAATCATTCGACCATCACCGAAACATAGCGATCATTTGTCAACAATTAGGACCGCGACTTCATTTCTGCAAATACGGAACTGTTAGGACTAATCCATAATCTAACGCTAAATTTTAATTGGAATACTCTCTGCAGCGATCTAGGTATTCTATTTCTTTCTTATTTCAAATTCTGTTTATCTTTCATCGTGTCTCTCCATGTCATCTAGCACTATTAATTCAGTAACGTATTATGCTCATAACTTAAATTGCTGTATAAACAGAAACTCTAGCGCTTCGCTCTTTTATCTACTACCGCGGTCCTTTAGCCCATGATTTTTTTACTTCTAGGAACTCATGGTCCTACAGCCCATCTTTTTTATTCCCCACCTAAGCCTCCTTAAACAACATTAACTTTTCCCTTTCTCAGTCCACATTAACCAATCGCCTTCGATTAAAAATCCCACTCTTATTTCACTATGCCTATCAGCGAACGTTTTGCAAAAAACTCCGCCCTAGAGGACAGCATCCGAAAACGCTTAAAAAAGGAGTCCCTCTGGGCACAGTCAGAATCTTCTACATTCTCCGGCGGACTAACTTCAATCGCTTCGCACGCGACATTGCACTGGACTTAGTTAGATTTCCGCGCGTTATCGAACACATTGTACTTAAAGAACCGGACTTCAATTGTACACCTTCGAACATAAGCTCAGATCGTTAAAATAAATTGTTAAGTTTTTCAACGATCCAACACGAGCTATTACAATGTTTGGTCGATCCGACTCCGGCACGTGCCAGAAGCGAAATGTGTCGAACAGGGGGAATCCACATTAATTTGCTCCCAAATACATTTTTTTTAACAAATGCAATGAATATTTTAATTCAAGAGAAATATTGAAAGCAAAGAATCAACGATGTAAAATAAGGAATGTATATGGGATTCAGGCGCGGAACCCCAGGGCAAAGTGTCGAAGAAAAAGCCCTTTTCATTTATGATCCTTTTCATATAAAATGTTGGACGCAAGGGTCGCTTGCATAGTTAATCACATCGGAAAGTAATTTTTGATCGAAGCTCGCAGGTGCACCGAAACAAGAAAGACATTGCTCGAAGTATACATGCACAGTGGAACTTCTTAAAAGAAAGTTAGCTTAGAAGAAATTAAGAAATTAGCCATTTTGCGTAGGCCCTACACGGGTCGAAATTCAAACATTCGATGCACGTGTTATAGAAAATATCACTGAATCTAGCGGTATCCGTTTAAAGACATATAACGTATCTGCAGATTATATCCTATATAGAGATAAACGTAACAGCATTTCATATTAATTTATTTTAAATACTTAATTGCGTTTCATTATGTAAAACTAATTACTAATGGATTTCTTCAGAACAATCATCATTCCTGACTTACGAACTTAGTCACGCGTACATGCAACGAATATTCATAAAACCTCGAAGCAGCGGTGGCCTAAAGTTCCCGGAAGACTTGGATATCGACGGCAAGTTAATCGACAAATTTGAGGTAATTGCAATTTCGGAAAATGTATTAAAATTGCTCTAACTCTACTTCTTTACGTGTTCGTTTCTCCTCATTTCTGTGAAGTAATTCGTTGTAAAATCCTATAAACGGATCAAAGAAAAATGACCTCTGCGTTGAAATTCCATATCTGGGAGATAATTGCAGTAAAAGTTATTATTGATCCGGTTAATCCTTGATTGCCCCCGGACAAGCGGGTCGGATAATTTTTCTATTTTTAGTCCTTTGTGATATTTTTTACCGCTACTTATCGGGATTTAAAACTGAGTCTGATCAAGACATTCGGAATTTATAGCGGAATTACAGAATTGCATGATACAATGGATTTGAAGGATACGGCGGATTTATCGACGTTCTAGGATTAAACCGGGATAGAGACTTATCTAGAAAAGTACGCTCCTACCGCCTGATACGTCTCTAACACGAGCTGTTTTCCATTCTACTTTTTCTTCATCTGTTCGTTTATTACAAGAGAAACGTTTATTTGAAACTTACCCTAGTAGCACTAACGAGGGAACATTCCCAAGTGTCTGCCTCCTCCTCTATTTTTTCATAAAAACAGTGAAAATCCAATTTTATCGTTTCACCACGGAGATTGTATTACTAGTTGGAAACAGGTGATGACTGCATGACGTCGAATCCGTTGCGAAACAATTTTAGCCTCTGAAACTATTTTTTAATTTATTTATAAATAATTGCATGTTATGAAAATCAATGACATTTTGAAGAATTACCACGTTGACACGACTTATGTACGATGAATTGGTCACGATATAACCCAATAAAGGTAGTCGGGATATACCCTAATACCACCTACATTCATTGTTTACAACCNCGCCATTTTTTTTTCAGCCTTCACGATAAACGATATTGCCGAATTCATTATAAACGTTTTAAAACTATTAAATCATAATCCCGTGTTTTGCTATCATAATAAAATAGCGGACCGAAAATATTGCAAAAATTTGTCATGTTTTTTTTATACCAAATGAAGTGCCCGAATATAACCGTAAAGTAAAAAATGTATTTCTATTATATGTTTATAAATGGTTAAAACTGAATATGTCATTGAGATTTTCAACAAATATTTTTGATATCTTCAAATGAGATTTACAAGACATCCTAAAAAATCTGTCGCTTGGGATATTTCGCAAATATTATAAATAAATATTTAGAAATCATTCTGTGCTACTAGGGTTACCTGCAGTTCGGAAAATTCCTAAATCTCGGGTTGCTCTGGAAAACGTATAACTATCTTTAGAGTTAGTCAATGACTGTATCTGTACAACGTTCTCAAAATTATTTGTTTAACCAGATTATACAATATGATACTCTTTCTTGTCTAACAAAAAATTACCTGAATAACATTAAATGTATTTTTAGTTTTTTAAAACACAACTGTAGAAATTAGAATATGCTTTTAATATATTAAGAAACTTATTTATGCAATTTCTTAACCAACAGAATAACAAGAACAGCTAAGATAATAAACGTGCATAAATAATTTATAAATTCACATACCTTGACGTTTTTTAATCCAGAATATATTCCTTGAATCGTCGCTAAAGTAAAATAAAAATTTGTATTCAAATTCCTTTCTTATATTTAAAAGTATTAGATAATAAGTTTAAACTTCGTTTACAAAAAAAATGGTTACGTTATTCCCTTAAAAATGTTAGTTCCCTTTTTAGAAAAAAAAAACGTTCCTATAAATGGCAAATTTGTGGTACATAGAAGCATTTTACCGTAACAAATTTGTTTTAAATGTGTTTCTAAAACGATTATTTCCGAAGACTTGATCATGACTGTCTCATCTTTCACTTAAATTTCAGGATCTCAAGACTCCCGCTGAATTTTCAACAAATCTGTACGACTTTGTACGTTATGAATATAATCTCGATGATAAAAGGATGCTCGATTTAATTCTTCGTCGATTCGTTTGCTTTCCTAGTGGCAAATGCATTAATATTGAAGATATCGGAAACCTATGCTGCCCATTCTAACAATAATGCAATATGTAGATTGTTATATCACACTTGTAAAACATTTAGCCATAAGAATTAAGTGCTGTCAGAGAATGTAGTAAAATGTTACTTGAAATTTTATGTAATAAAGGTTAAAAAAAAATGGTAATTAATCTGTTTTTAATTGTAAGATATCGATTCAATTTCCTGTTTCTTCGTGTCTATTGACATCCTTACCATGCACCATTTATTGTCCGCCCTGGTCTTCTTAGAAAGTCGACACATATTCTTTACTATATATATAACAATAAGGTAAAAAGTTACNATACTATAATATTCACCAAAAATATATTAATGCATTTATTATATTTTTATAGATTACGGCTGCTTTATGCACGGAATACAGTAAATTAATATATTAAATTGACTCATTAAATATTTTTAAAGTTGGTCGTTGTACCCACATGTAACTTATCTCTTGTCCATAGAAATTTGTTGTAACCGATCCGATAGTTTTCATGTTCAAACTTGTCAATTTACTAGTTAGATATCTATTGCAAATTTGCACATTCGATATTGTGAAATTATTTTGACATTTATTGTCCGCCCTGGTCTTCTTAGAAAGTCGACACATATTCTTTACTATATATATAACAATAAGGTAAAAAGTTACTTGAAATTTTATGTAATAAAGGTTAAAAAAATTGGTAATTAATCTGTTTTTAATTGAAAGATATCGATTCAATCTCCTGTTTCTTCGTGTCTATTGACATCCTTACCATATACCGTTCATTGTCCGTCCTGGTCTTCTTAGAAAATCGACACATATTCTTTACTATAAATAATAATAAGGTAAAAAGTTACTTGAAATGTTATGTAATAAAGGTTAAAAAAATTGGTAATTAATGTGTTTTTAATTGAAAGTATCGATTCAATTTCCTGTTTCTTCGTGTCTATTGACATCCTTACCATGCACCGTTCATTGTCCGTCCTGGTCTTCTTAGAAAATCGACACATATTCTTTACAATAAATAATAATAAGGTAAAAAGTAAACGGAGAAAAAGGCAGATCATTGAATGAAAATTCCTTTATTAACTAATACATCTTGACAATATAACGATATCGACGAGACTACGGAAAGAATAACGCTATAACGTATACGAGGTACATTTTAATGCCTAATCATAATTACAACGTACAGTATCAACATTACAAACGAAACGAAACTATTGAACTTAAGAATGCTACAGGGCCGTTACGTACTTTAAATCTTAGTTTGTGTAATACATTAGATATCGATCTTCCATTCGACTACCAAATAATGGACTAACAATTGACAATGTCGAGTGGCATTCTGCCCTCATTTGTATACCCATATACAAGTGAAAATACGCTTAAATATATATCGAAATATGGTCAGACAATAGCCTACTGCACGTACATCGAAAGTTTGGCAGATTTTTCGACTCTTCGTGTCGGTTACATTTCCTTCCTTGTTATAAACAATAGACCCTTTTCTTCGACATGACACTTCTAATATCAGTCGTTAGTCAAATATCAGGCAGTAAATGAAGAATCTATCGACGATCGGTTACTCTAATTAATCCTCACATGTTCAACGTGTGCGATGATTTTTGCATATAAAAATAAAGGGGTGTACAAGCGCTTAGAGTGTGTAAAGTACTAATCTCATCTACGTACGTCGAGTAGAATTATTTCCTCTACCTCCCTGTCGTTTATAGTCGTAGTAAGAAAATTTCTCTCTCGAAAATAGTCGCGGCGTAACATCGTTGTACATTGGTCACATTTTTCGAAAAAATTCTCCGCTAATAGTTTGAAGATTCTGGACAAGGAGTGGTCTAGGGAATCCCGGGAAAGGTTCTCGAGGATCGTAAAGAGACAGCCTGTCGGTGTTCGTACAACCGAACGAAACTTGCGTACTCATTTCGTAACCATAAATTGCAATCTTCGAAAAATCTCAAGTTCTCTTAGAATTAATCGCTGCGGCGCGTCGCATTTTACACAAGCCACTTAGAAATAAGGCATTACGTGATATCAACAAAGGGTACGTTTAATTTACAATGATGTACGTGAACGAGCTTTACGAAACTAAGCGCCATTTTTTTTTCAGCCTTCACGATAAACGATATGGAAACGAAACTCGTGAAATCTTTCAATCGCGCGTTTATTAACACTAGATTGCCGGAACGAGTCAATTTGACTCATTTACGATTTTATTGCTACATATATCTGGAAAAACTTAAATGATTTATTTTTAAAACATGTTAATTTTTAATAAAATTATGAAATGTTAAAAGTATTAGATAATAAGTTTAAACTTCGTTTACAAAAAAAATGGTTACGTTATTCCCTTAAAAATGTTAGTTCCCTTTTTAGAAAAAAAAAACGTTCNAGTCAAATTGACTCATTAAATATTTTTAAAGTTGGTCGTTGTACCCACATGTAACTTATCTCTTGTCCATAGAAATTTGTTGTAAACAATCCGATAGTTTTCATGTTCAAACTTGTCAATTTAGTAGTTAGATATCTATTGCAAATTTGCACATGCGATATTGTGAAATTATTTTGACGGATATGAGTCAAATTGACTCATTAAATATTTTTAAAATTGGTCGTTTTACCCACATGTAACTTATCTCTTGTCCATAGAAATTTGTTGTAAATAATTCGATTCGATGGTTTTCATGTTCAAACTTGTCAATTTACTAGTTAGATATCTATTGCAAATTTGCACATTCGATATTGTGAAATTATTTTGACGGATGTGAGTCAAATTGACTCATTAAATATTTTTAAAGTTGGTCGTTGTACCCACATGTAACTTATCTCTTGTCCATAGAAATTTGTTGTAAACAATCCGATAGTTTTCATGTTCAAACTTGTCAATTTAGTAGTTAGATATCTATTGCAAATTTGCACATGCGATATTGTGAAATTATTTTGACGGATATGAGTCAAATTGACTCATTAAATATTTTTAAAATTGGTCGTTTTACCCACATGTAACTTATCTCTTGTCCATAGAAATTTGTTGTAAATAATTCGATTCGATGGTTTTCATGTTCAAACTTGTCAATTTACTAGTTAGATATCTATTGCAAATTTGCACATTCGATATTGTGAAATTATTTTGACGGATGTGAGTCAAATTGACTCATTAAATATTTTTAAAGTTGGTCGTTTTACCCACATGTAACTTATTTCTTGTCCATAGAAATTTGTTGTAAACAATCCGATTCGATAGTTTTCATGTTCAAACTTGTCAATTTACTAGTTAGATATCTATTGCAAACTTGCACATTCGATATTGTGAAATTATTTGTTGCAAGTCTTTTTTGTTGAAGGCTTTTATGAAAGCTCTGATAAAACATTCTTTGCGTTCTTCCATTTCGATTTATGGCATCGGAGAGAATAATGCATTTTTAGCAACACAAAAAAAAATAAATTTCATAAATTATTTTTTTAACGATTTTTGTGTACCAAGGTAATTTCAGAATTTATTTATAAGATGTATTTACGTAAATGTAAATAAATATTTTAGTTCTAGATAAGGGTTGCTATTATGACAAAAAATGTAGATCTTGAATTGCGAAAAAAACTGACCCAAATAAGAGAAAACCAATCAGATATCGAATCCGATGCATCTGATACCGAACTATATGAAATAGAGAATCAAGCTAATAGAATTGAATTTTCGAGCAGTAAAGATGAAGGTCATCATACAGCTCCTAGAAAAAGAAGAGCTTGTTTTCTATCTGAAAGTGAATTAAGGGCTAGTGATAGCGATCGTTATATAACTCTTGGCAAAAAAAGAATACGATATATTCCTGATTTTGAAACCGAAAGTGAATTAGACCCTGCAGATAGGTCCGATAATGAAGAAATTTCAACACAAAAGGCTGCTGATGGGACATTATTGGAAACATTGAAAGATGGCAAAAATACTGGTAGAGTTTCCGATTACCAAATTCAAAGACGTCTCAGGGCCAACTTCCTACTCCAAAAGAAATATTGTACTTTATACTGTTAAGAGTGCTTCCAGAATATATATGTAACAATTGTTTTGAATAAAATTTCATTAAAATAAAATTTCATTTTTTTTTTAAACTCCATTTTGATGTTTGAGTCAAATTGACTCGTTTCAGGCAAAATAGGTATATGCCCAAAATCCGGCAATCTAGTGTTAAATTACATATGCACATATCAAAAAGAAGCCGGCTACGGTTACACTTCCCAGTAGAACAAATGCGCGCGTACGTATAAGAAAACGTTTACTTATTTTACTTACATGCTGTGTAATTATACCGGAACAATTTATCTTGTTAATTATTCTACGATCTACGTTGAAACGGTTAATATTAATAAATAAATGGAAATTAAGCAATTCGTTAACGGAAACTGAAGCACTTATAGAGGAGTTTTTGTCTCGTGAATGTATTTTAGATCATATAATCGTAATGAAATGACATGTAATGAATACTAACAGTCCTTAAGAATATTACTAAAACATCAGGGGTTAATGTTCCTATATACTTGATTACTTTCAATTACTTTAATGATTGAACTAAAAAGGTGGCCCCTTCCAAATGCTCTTTAATAAGTTGCTTACAAGTTCTGCACAATTTTTACAGACGACACAACTTATATTACGCGATTATGGGTAAATTGTATTCGGTGTGTGCATTTTGTTCTACTAGGATTCTTACGAATAAAAGTATATTTTCCGGTAGTATAGTGACACGAAATCAACATTGTTACGTTAACTTTGATTGAAGCTACTTAAATCTGGCGTCGATTTATCGGCTCAGTCTTTTTACGTAACACGAGAATTACCTTACGCCCTTCTGTTATTACTTTAGTCGTATCGATATGAAATATGATTCCTCGCAATCTCCCTGCACTTCGGATTATTAATATTTCCTTATTCTCAGGCTGAGATCCATTGGTAGCGTCTAACAAATCCTCATTCTTGCACTCTTAATTAGGATTAATTATTAATTCTAAAATGTGTATGTAACGTAAGATTCAAGTTCTGCACCATAAACAAGACATTCTTTCGATGTTTGGGAATGTACAATCAAGATACAAAGATTCCTCGCCTTATCCCAAAATAATCACTCGTAAAAAAATATCTCATAAATATTTCC